GCTTGAATGGTCTTTTTTATGAGTAATTATTAAAAGAAAAATAGGAAAGTAGTCTTTAAGGTGCAAATGTTTTTTTTTTATTTTAATATTTTTTTCCATTTGAAATTCCATTTCAATACATACTAAAAAGGAATCCTGGAAAATTATACCAGGCAGGTTTAACAAACAAGTTACATGGATAGTAAAACCCTCAAGAACAGGGGTCTTCTTTTCCAGACCAAGAACCCCCAAACTGATGGCGAGATGGAGCGGGGACCCCCTAACTATATATATTGTATGAAATTGTGTCCTATAGTCACTCTATTACAGATGGAGTAATGTAAAGAAATTAATTTCTCCCTGGGATTATTAAAGTTTTTCTGATTCTGATTCCTGGTTGATGGGACAGGTGTTGTGAAGGAAACGGTGCCCAGCTTGAAAGAGCTCCTGTGTGTCGCTGAATGTGAGCATTGATGACTGAAAGACATCTTTTGTCTCCATTTATCTGTTTACTACAGTGTGTTGATTTCATGTTAATGAGTATTTAAAGACATTTCAATTAGTGGGGGAAAAAATGCGGGGGGGGGAATATAAAAATATCAACTAACCATGCAGACCCTCATGCAGTACCTCCGTAGACCCCCTAGGGGTCGCGGATCCCCTGTTGAAGACCTCCGCTCAAGAAGATTTTAGTAACACAAACTGAGGGACCAGGCTGAGGTAGGAATTTAAGGTTACTGAAGTGCGGATTTATTTACTGAAAGCCGGCGGGCAAACTTGTTGCCATCATCCTCACCGACCACCTGGTCATAAACCTGTTTTAAGTCGCCTCCACGCTGCTGTAGCTTCAACGCTGCATTTTGTTTTGATGACGCACGCGGCTATAGGCTAAGACACTGGTAGCTGGTGTTGCCAGATTGGGTGTTTTTCCCTCTACATATTAAGGCCTGTTTACGGTGTGATTTAGCCGGGGTTTCGCCTGGAGGGCTTTATAGAAATCTGGCAACCGATTGAAAGGAACTGAACTGAGAGAGCGTGCCGTTCACAGACACCAGAATGAACGAGTTCACAATAACGTTCATCAGGCAATAATGCAGTACGTTCAGTTCACGTTCGCCCAAAATATGAACGAGTTCATGAACTTTCGTTCAATGAACGCGTTCAGGCACAACACTGTATATATATATATATATATGAATCAATAACTCATAGCTCTAAACAAAATCATTCAAATTTGCTTATTTATACGCCTGATTTGAAGTAGCTAAACATGCTTTATTTTAAATTCCTCACTCAATGTATCTTATTAGCAGGATAATAAAATTTGGAAGTCTAGGTGCTTTTGCGTTCCCTTCAATGTTTTACTGGTATAAAACAGGTGGCACACTGTTTACACTGGACAGAAGTATGGGAAAAATGTGCTGTCAAAAAAGGCAAGGCTGACGGTTGATTTAGAGGTTTATAGAGTTCATAGAGTTGGATGAAGCAGAGGATCGTTTTGAATAAAAGGAAGCAACATCTACAGCTCGGCAGAGGAATTTATGGTGGATCTGTGCCAAGGTGGTGACAGAGCTGATGGCCGAAAGGGAGAACTTCAACCTTTCAGAAGCTCACAGCACACTTCACAGTTATATAAACATATGGCTGATCCATTTTTTTCCTAGCCAGAGTAATATATTTTATAATTTATACTTTTTTATACTTATGTACTTTAATATTACTGCTGAGAGACAAGCACAGAAACAGAATTAGACAACACCGAAAAAGAAAATAAATATAAGAGTCTGTTAAAATGCAATCAAAAGCCAACATCTGTCGAAATGATATCCCAAAAATGTGTGTAAGTAGGTTCAAACAAATCTGTTTTTACATTCCCATCATTCTTTCTTTTCTTTATGTTTGGACTTATGTTTTTTTTTTTTTTCATTATCATTATGCAAATAAAACCCTTTACCAATTTATATAATACTTAAGATGTATGGATATAATTTTTTTTCAAAATCTTAATGCTGTTAAATTAAATAAAAGTAATATCTATTAAAATAATCAGTGTTTTATTTTAGTTTGTAAAGGTTCAATACAAAGATCTTTGACAGCTTTGAATAAATAAAAATGTTCCCATAACAATGTTAGTTTAAACAGCCAGAGCAACATCTGTAAATGGAAACCTTCTGATTTCCCTTAAGACTAAGGCTACGTTCACACTGCAGGCCTTGATGCTTGATGTCCCCTATGCGCAGAAGAGTATGCAATGATATCACAGGCCAGCATGCTCTGTGTTTATGGAAGTAAATATGGATGGTAGTGCCGGCGCGCATCGAGCGATCTTTCCCAACCATAAAAACACAACCTTTTCAGGATTGTTAAATATAAACACTACACTCTGCATCATCGTCCGCCATGGTTGTTGTTTTTCATGCAACTTCTTCATAGCAAGACCCAGAATAGTGACCTTTGTCGGATATTAATAGCGCTCAGGTTGGATGAATGTGACCTGACCGTCCACACACAGGTCGTATTTGAAAAGATCCGATTTGTATCGGATTCAGGACCACAAACCCAAGTGGCCTGGGTCGCATTCGAAAAAATTTAATCTGTGTTTTTCAGACTGTCATGAAAAGATAAGATCCAGGTCGCATATAGGCCAAAAAATCAGATCTGGGTCACTCCAGGCTGCAGTGTGAAAGTAGCCTAAAAGGTCCTCAGTGCTTTAGATAAACAGACAGGTCCGCAGTATCATTCTTCCACCACCATACCAATGGTCATGAGTTGTTTTTCATGTATTCATTCTTTGTTTAACAAGAAACTGACCAGGAGTTTGACTCAGCTTTTAAAACCATGTTCATATTTTCCAAGATTTCATTTAAATCACTCCTACATGGTGTTGAAGTTGTTTCTTTATTTGGGTTTGGTAATGGGTCTGACAGAACTCAGAACCACATTAGTAAACAAAGACTGTCTGATGTTAAAATAAAAGCCACATGCCACATATTACAGCCTGTTATGACACAAAGCAAAGCCAGACAAGTGATGCTATTTAATCTGAATGCATGCATACAGCATGTTGTTGCAAAGGTTAATGCAAGCATTTTGGATCACCCATGGATGTTGTAGGGACCATAGGGACATGTCCCTACCAAAATTTGGCCCAACCTACTTGTCCCCACCTATGTGAATAACATGTTTATAGTTTACAAAACAGTGTTGTTGTTGCAGCAGCTGCTTCTTTTCTCACAACTTGTACATTGAAGTTAATATTTTAAATGCTCACTGTCAGTTCCTCTTATGTATGTTATTTTGCTTTGTTTTACGATACAAAGAATATCAGCATATCAGATAAAAAAAATAAGAGTGGGTTTTACCTCTGTTTACCTCTGCACAATTCTATTTCTTCAAAAGAAAACTCCTGATTACACAGACATATTTAGACTATATTTGGTTAAAAGGGCATGTATATATCTTCCTGAAGTAATAATCTTTGGACCAATAGAGGAGAGATCTAAAGTTAGCACACAGCTTCAGTCGCTTCAGCTAGTAACCACTGATCAGCCCCGAAATCTAGGTGTAGTGCTGGATACAGACTTGAACCTTCAAAAGCATTTAAAGACAATTACAAGGTCAGCTTTCTATCACCTGAAGAACATTTCCAGGATTAAAGGACTAATGTCTCAGCATGATCTGGAAAAACTAATCCATGCGTTTATTTTTAGTCGAATCAATTACTGGAACGGTGTTTTCATAGGTCTGCCTAAAAAGTGGATCAGACAGCTGCAGCTGATCCAGAACGCTGCTGCCCGTGTCCTCGCTAAGACTAAGAAAGTAGAGCACATCACCCCAATTCTGAAGTCCTTACGTTGGCTCCCTGTATCTCAGAGAATTGACTAAAAATACTTCTGTTAGTCTATAAATCCCTGTATGGCTTAGCACCTAAATACATCACAGACTTGCTATCAGTGTATCAACCCTCCAGACCACTCAGGTCATCTGGCTCCAGCCTGCTCTACTGTACATACCTAGAACCAGAACTAAACATGGAGACGCAGCATTTAGTTCCTATGCTCCACTTATCTGGAACAAACTTCCAGAAAACTGTTAGAAAGCCAGAGTTCCTTTAAATCAAGACTAAAAACACATTTGTTTAGGATTGCCTTCGACTGTTCTAGTTGAACAGTTCAACTGAAACATCATTAGTTCAACTTTTTTTTATTTTCTTTAGTCCAACTGTTTTTAATTTTTTTTTTTTTTGTTTCTGCATTTTTTATTTATTATTTATTTTTTCCTACTTGCTTTGATTCTGTTTTATTTTCCCATATTTTAATCATGTAAAGCGCTTTGCAGTGTCTTTGTACTGAATTGTTCTATACAAATAAATTAGCCTTGCCTTGCCTTGTGTCTTAACTGGTAAGTTCAAATGTAACCCCTTTCAAACTGTAAGGTTGTCCAGATTTTACATTATACTGAGCCACTGATGCTTCAAACATTGATCAACAGCATATTGTGTGTGTAGTGCTTATAAAATTTGTATAAATTATGCTAAAAAAACACGTCAAAAACTAAAAAATAGGATCATGCATAATGATCAGTGATCAATGACATCAGACCAATTCAACTTAAGACCAATAGTGTCCTTACCAAAGTCGAGATCAAACCTATTGGGATCACCTATAACAGTGGTCTCCAACCCTGGTCCTCAAGATCTACTATCCTACAGATTTTAGATGCATCCCTGCTTCAACACAGCTGAATCAAATGATTGATTACCTTTTCAAGCCATTCATTTGATTCAGCTGTGTTGAAGCAGGGATGCATCTAAAATCTGAAGGACAGTAGATCTTGAGGACCAGGGTTGGAGACCACTGACCTATAAGGAGCAGAAACATCTAAGACCCTGAAATTTGCGCCCACTTCTTTCACCGTCCCTGCGGACCACGTGACTTGGTTCCTCCTTGTTTTAAAAAGAAGCGCTTTCTTATGAGGTGCCCCCAGCGACATAAATCAGAATTACCCCTGATGCAGTCAGATCCTCTGCGGAGCTGGGAGGCGTCATCTGAGCGGCTCAGTGCGCACATTCAGACTTCTGCAGCTTTAAGGCGCCGCGCGCTCAACCTGCGAGTTCTGGAAGCGTCTCTGTGAGGCTGACCTGCATCCTGCAAACTGTCCCCGAGTCTCTGACCTGTTGATCAGGAATGGATCTGGACCATAGGAGGACATTTGGCGCCTATCTGTTACTGACCTGTGTGATAATCTGCAGTAATGTGCAGATTATCATCGGCGCGTCTCAGTACAACAACCGCTACGCAGGGTGAGTGTAATAAAAAAAACACCTCTTTACCTTGTTGATATATTATTTATTATTTCATCTCTTTATTAATGCTCCTTTGGTTCAAATTCAGCAATACTAACGCGTAAGTGGATTTAAAATATTTAGAGGCTTCTTTCCATTTTTTATGTTTTGTTATCCAACCCAAGGTAGCAGAATTTATTTTTTTCACCTTTATTCTTGTAAATAAATATTGGTAAAGTGTTTTATTCATTTCTATTCAGTCTTTTCTCCCTTAAAAACCATAACTTAAATTCAGGGGGAAAAAACCCTTTGTAAAAAAAAACCTCATAAAGACTGTTCTAATTTAAAGTAAGATAATTTTTTTATAGATGAAAAAATATGAACTCAGTCTTAGTAAATATAATAATATAAAATAATGAAATACTGGGCAACAATGAACTAACTAAGACAGACCAGGAGCATCAGGTTTGATAATCTGTTAATAGAACTATTAATTTAAGAAGACTTTATTAGAAGAGTGGTGAGAAGATATATATAGGAAACACAGAAGATGATCATCTGTAGGAAGAGACCTAAACCAAACATCGTCTATACAATGTGGATAACTAAGACTTAACATCAACCTGAACCCCATCTCCATGGTGATGTACAATGTTGGCAGCATCATGCTTTGGTGATGGCTCTTTAGCAGGGCCCTGGAAGTTGGATAGAGTTGATGTTCCTGAATACAGTAGAATCCTAGATGAGAGAGACTTTAGGCTGAATCAGATGTCTATTTATGTACGGTACAACAATCCACATCATACAACCAGAACTGCAATTGGAATGGTTTATAAGAAAGCATGATGTCACAATAAGATCATATAATTTGTGGAAAAACTTGAAATGAACGTCCGAAGAGGCTGTTAATAATCTGTTTGAGTTTGAATTCTTTGTGAAGTCACAATTCTTCCAAAGGGGCAAACAACACAATAAATATGTGCAGTTTTACATAATTAACACACATATAAACTCATTTTATGGTACGTTTTAAATGTTTTACTTGCAAATTCAAAACTACGAGGCCTCAGTGCATGACGCCTATCCACGTTCTGGTGGCCTGCTGTCTATGCAGCCGTTGGCTCTTTCCTATTGGACCTGTTTTTGCTTATTTGTGATAACATTTAGTCACTTTGAGGTTGGTAACCACTTAAGAAAGAAAACCTCCTGCGATTGGCTACTTTTCAGGATTTCCCGCCTCTTGAGACTGGACTATATTATTTTATTGTATATTGTGGCCAAAGCAGCAGCATGGCATCTGCAGGCTAATTGTTGTATTCTTCCAGCAATTTAGCCGTCTAGACTGATTGCAGTAGGATAAGATGCTCACCACCACGTGTTGCATCATAGAGCCCCTCAGATCACTCATGATGATGAAACACGGAGCAGTTGAGGGGGTTGCTTGTGGTCTCAAAATTTCCAAAATTAAAGTCAGAAACAATAGGCTCTATTTTTGAGGCCATGTGTTATTTTAATTACCAAACAATAACACTCTATAAAAGCCCTAGTCTATGGTCTCAATGAAAGGGAAACTACTCAACATAGAGAATAAAGCAAAACAAAGTTTTTTGGGTGTGTAAAATCCTTAGGATAAGAGATCTTCAGCTGCAGATTATGGAGTAATCTGGGAAAAACTTAAAGAAAGCAGGGCAGAAGATATTTATGGTCTGTTTTCAGAGGAGCCTTTGATGTGCTTTAACAGAGCAGAGGGAATGTATCACAGCCTGAAAACTCCCTCATTTTCACTGTCAGATGCAGCATATTTAGTGTTTCCAAAACAGGGTGTTCTGTTTTCAAATTAATAATAATTAAATATAAAAAAGCATCCTGACATTTGCAAACGGTGAAGTTTAAAGTTGCTATTTCAGAATAAACATCAGAGGTAAGCCCGAATGTGTTAAAGGATCCCACGGGGCATTCTGCTGAGAGCTTCAACAGATTGACAACATGACGACAGATTTATCTGAGAGATCCCTGTAGCTGTTTGTTGTAAAAGAAAAGGTCTTTGCCAGACAGGCCCACGCAGTCGCAAACACAACCAGCTGTCTTACTTCAGAAAATGGAGGAAAGTGACAACACAAACAAAGTGGCAATCTAATGATTTAAGACATCAAAGTAGGAATGCGTTTTAGTACCCAGCAAAAGTACTGCTCTACACTTCATCAAGCTAAAGTTAGAAAACCTGGTGTATTTTAATGTTTTGGTTTTTATGTCCTAGAAGATGCCTCAGTAACCATTACAATGACTCATCTTGAATCTCTCTGCTACATTACATTTATCTAAAGTCACAAAACATTTAGAGGTATTAGGAAAAAAGAGCAGGCTAGAATAAATGGAATACTTTCAATTTGTATAAAAAAAGAAACCCAAAACTAACTCTTCAACTTTACATTATCATTTTTTTGTTGGTTTGTTAACAAACTTTTTTTTAACTCGAGAACATTTTATTTTGAGATGTATTCATTTTGAGAGGCACCACAGAAACCAGTTCTATAGCGGTTTGTTTCCTCCAATACGTTTCTTTGCTTGGTTTGGGACAGAGCTGCTCACTTTCAAATAAGTTATTCCTTCAGTGGGTGGAAAGGGGGGGTGGTGGACTTCTGTGGGACACCTGGACCCTTTTGTCCCTCAGACCTCATAAATGGCCTGTTCCCATCTTTGTTTCATGAGGCCCAACTTCCTGTGTGACAGACTGTTAAAAAAAAAGTTCTTTAAAGAAGCTGAACCCATGAAAAGAAGATGCTCCAAAAGACAGGGAACACATTCACAACCTGAATGAGTTACTGCAGGCATTGCTTCAGGATAGTAAGCCGACATGAAATAATTCTGAACTTATCTTTAGAGTTCTTAAAGTCTACAGTTATGATCATTTGTTTGAAAAAATATTAGAAGTGGTTGATATTTTAGACATACATTTTCATGCAATCTTTCTTTTTTTAAGTTTAAAAGTATGTACCATTTGTTTCATGAACAAAAATAAATGTTCGTAACTTTAGTTGCTATATTTTAGTATAACTGTTTTAACATCAAATGAGCTTCCAGGTCCCTCCACCACCCCAGGTCAAGTTGTGGCCCAGATCCTGTATCCTAATGGCAAGACAGCCCAGTCTGGAGTTGGGCCACCTTCTGTCACCAGCTTTTATAAGCCTGCTGTCCGGGACAATAATACTAACAAGTAACAGAAAACTCTAGTGACACCAATTTACTTAAATTACAGAGATCCTCTGTAACGCCGCAGCAATTGATTGCTGTGGTGATTGATTGATCTATTGATTATTTGTTTATTACTCGATCAATGTTAAAAAAAAAATCATTTAAGTAAGTTAACAGTTTAAAGAAACAATGCAATTTCAATATAGTTAAAATCGAAACACACACATTGGGTATTATTTTACTAATTGATTAATCATAATTATCTGATTAATCATTTCACCTATAATCCTCTGCTTTATTGAATTGGTGAATAGGCAGATTTTACATGGGAATGCTTTGTGATGTATAAAAAAAGGAGGAGTAAAAATGTACAAATATTACATCTATTTCAGTAAAACATATTTTTTATAATCTAAGTCCCGTAAATTTCAGGAATAAAAAGATAGCATAGAATTTGAGTTTCCAGATTTTATATATCAATCAAATCAAAAAGCTTTGTTTATTTTATTTTTATTATATTTATCATTTAAATCTTCCAGTTACTGACAGACAAATAATAATCTTCTAAAAAAAAATCTATTTTACAGCATTTTTGTTCTCTATAATTTTTTTTAATGTGAGTTTTAAAATAAATGATTCTGGATATTCAGCTTGGTTCAGTTTAGCATTTAAATTTCTCTTACATTTTTGTGAGTGGAAGTTGTTACTGATTGCAATCCTCAATTTAATAGATTTAAATGAGTCATCTAAACCAGATTTCTCTTTTGTAGATATTAAATAATCTGGGGTTTTCTAACTACCCCACCCCACAAAGGGATGGGTAGTTTGTAGGGTAGTTAGAAAACCCCAGATTATTTATCACAATTACCAAATCAGAAAGCAGCTACAGCATTGCAGTGGTTCATGAATCGCAAAAAAGAAACGGATAAAAATCTGAGCAGGTGATTGCTTTGTAATCAAATGTGCAAAATCTCATAAAAAAGACAGAAACATCCGAGAAATAGAGTTTTTATTTTCTTTTTAAATAGACATATCAAAGACAACATGTAACATGACATGTAACTAACGTTTGTGATTAGTGATAATCTAAAAATAGACAAAATAAATACATATTTTGTCTCATTTAGTTACTCATTTTTTTTCTCAGGAAAGTGTATGAATGAAGCTGCTGCTACTGTATCTGCTGGCTGCAGGCGCTACCTATACAGACTGGTAACATAATCCTATAATGATGCCTGAAACAGGTTATTTAGCTGAGGGAGTTTTGCCCTTTTCCATAGGACTCTGAAAGGGGAAAGCTCCTGTTTCACCGTCTGACTTCTTTATCATTAGTGTCACCTTCAACCGACAAGAAAAGTGAATTCATGACTCGACTCTGTAGCCCTGGTGTTTTTACAACATCCACTATGTGAACGTGTGGAAATGGAAGGAAATGTTGTAAAAACACCTTTCAGAGTGTGCTGATTGCCTCTGTAACCTGAACCGTAGGGGGCTTGTGTTGTTTCCACAGCGACCAAGTCTTCAGGATTACCCCAAGTAACAACGCAGAGGTACGAGCCCTAAAGAAAATCCTGGGACAGATTAAGGTTGGTTTTGTTTAATGCATTTCCCTAAAAACCTTAAACATACATCCTTTTCTCCCACTGTGTTAGCAGGTATTAAATTATGTCGATAAATTCAGAGGAGCATGACATTCTGCGAAAAATCTCCTCAAATAGTGGAAAGAGGCAGTCAGTATTCCTTTCAGTAAGAAGCTCAGACAGAAATAAAGGGGTGGGTTTTCATTTTTTTTTTTTAAGTGGATGACTGCTTAGATGTTTAAACTCTGTGAACATGTGTTTCAAAGACACTGAAATTAGGCGGGAACCTACACAGGAGACAAAGGCCTCCCCTCTTCTCCAGAGCTCATTTGGAAGCAATTATCCATCCAAGTCAGCAACCGCGACCCTTTTTCCCCCAATGTCTCAGTTGGAAAACATACTTTGGCGTAGAGGGTATGAGGAGGATAGAGAGGTGCTCATTCAAAAAAAATAACTAATACTATGATTGATGGTTTAAATTATAATTTACAAATGCTGATTTTTTTGTATTTTTTAAGTTATTGTCTAGATATTTTTGTTGTAGTTGCATGAAAACACTGAGGTTTATTAATGTATTTAAATCAAACCATCAACTTAATATGATGGAAGAAAAAGTCTTGCTTATGGTAAACATATCTTTTTAAAACATTTAGGTTAACCTGAGTAGTGGCCTAAAGGCTAATTTCCTCTAAAATGAATGGTATTTAATTTTTTTATTTTACTTCTCTATATTCATGTGAATGTAGTTTAAACTTTAATTGGAATTTGTATGACATCGATCAGAAAATAGATCATCCCATTTTATTTGAAGAATTGTGAAAGCCAAGACCACATGTTGTTCAAATAAGGTAGATTTGCACTGATTTCCAGAAATCTAAGAAAGCAGATACTAAGCAAAGGTTTGTGTTAAGTACGCCTAAATGTAATTAAACTGAATGAAAAAGACAATCATCACTTCCAATATTTATCCTACCTCTAATATATAAATGTCTAAGTTGCTCCGTTAATTGATCAGGTTTTTTGCAATGTTAAAAAGAAATACAGTTTTATAACTTTTACTGCTGATGTAAGCAGAAATAAGCAAAACTCAATAAAAACTAATTTTGGGGTAAAACAGATCCTTGTATTGTCTATAGAATAAAGTACCACATTCAAGCTGATGATTAATTAAAGTCTATGGATTTTCTGTCATTTATTGCTCTTATATTCAACCAAAAACAAAAATTGAACTAATAGCATTTTCTCACACTGCAAAAACGTGCTACTTAAAATAAGTAATAAACTCCTAAATATTAGAAAATTTTCTTGTTTTGAGCAAAAACTGGAGTAAATGGGAATAAGTTGCTCAGCTATAGTACTTAAGGCTCATTATACATTTTTCTAAACTAAAGTTGTTCATTCTTATTTTTAAAATGGAAAAAAAAAGTATTTTATTTTTATTCTGGAATTTTAAACAAAGCATCGTCATACAATGTAGATGGTAAATAAATCTCAAGATTAGCTGAAGCGCCTTATTGAGAAATGATTAGACATATTTTCCGGCAGTGAGCTTAATTTTTTGGCAAAACTTAAAATAATATGTAATGTAAGACAAAAAAAGGGAATACATTTCCATTAAGAAATGTATCTACTTTCTTAAAAAATATATATTTTGCAGTGTATTTGCATAACACATAAAATACATAATCCACATAGAGCTCAGAAAGCATCAAAGAGATCTTAGTTAGGGGCTCTCTTTCATGGAGGAGGACCAAGCTTGAGTTACAGGAGTTGTTTCTCTTTATGATTTGCTCATTGTCAAACATTCTGTCATACTTGATTGGAATAAATTCTGTGGAAACCTAAATAATTTTTTTCTTTTTCCTTTAAAGGGGTGGAAAAACCGAAACATACATATACAATGAAATTATCTTAATAAATTAATGTTTATTTTCCTCCTAAAAAGTTTTTTTTTTTTTTTTTTTTTACTTTTCCTAGGTTAGATGTTAACAATTTTTGATTGAACTTGTTTTTTTTTTATTCTAAATCCTAAAGAAAAGCTATTCTAAAAGGGCTGTATAAACCTTTTATTTTTCATCTACTCTGAGTGAGTAGAAATCCAAACAGGAAGCACTACAGCACAAACTAAGAACAAACAGGACTCGCTAAATGCTTCTAATAAGCAGGGAAGGGTTTCGAAGGGAAGCCGCTGGTCAGAACCGAGCTATTATATTTGGAAGAGCTGTGAGCATGGAACTGGCTGAAGCTCCTACAAGAACAACACCAGCAGCAGCTACTGTTTGTACAGCTGTGGACGTGTGTTCTTAAGAGATTAGGCACACTGCTGTGCTTCCAGTGTCCTAGACTTTATGTTGTCAGCTTCAGGCTGCACACCAGATCAGAGGCTGTGTGCTACTGAATGCAGGATCCTCTGGATTCAACCCATCAGTAACTGAACAAGACATATTTAAATTGTAATCATGTTTAATCTTTGCTTAGCTATTTATTTACTCAAAAAATAGTAAATTAAAAAGAACCCAGCCTTGACTCTGCTAATGTCTTTGGTTAAGTGTTCCTAAGCAGCTTTTCCTAAAATAGTTTCAGATGCATACACTGACCCTCCAGAATCATTTATTTTGCAAGTGTTTTATACAAGAATTTATCTTTTGTGAATTTATCTACAATGTGGGCATGTAAAGCTTGACATTTGGGGTTGACTTAGTATATGTAACTACAGCAAAAAGCTGTTGTGAAAGAATAGATGATGAGAAACAGAAACAAAATACAGGTGCTGGTCATAAAATTAGAATATCATGAAAAAGTAGATTGATTTCAGTAATTCCATTTAAAAAGTGAAACTTGTATATTATATTCATACATTACATACAAACTCATATATTTCAGATGTTTATTTTGTTTAATTTTGATGATTACAAATGACAACAAATGAAAATCTCAAATTCATCATATCAGAAAATTAGAATATTACTGAAGACCAATAAAAACAAAGGATTTATAGAAATGTTGGCCAACTGAAAAGTATGAACATGAAAAGTATGAGCATGTACAGCACTCAGTATTTAGTTGGGCCTCCTTTGGCCTGTATTACTGCAGCAATGCGGCGTGGCATGGAGTCGATCAGTCTGTGGCACTGCTCAGGTGTTATGATAGCCCAGGTTGCTCTAATAGTGGCTTTTAGCTCTTCTGAATTGTTGGGTCTGGTGTATTGCATCTTCTTCTTCACAATACCCCATAGATTTTCTATGGGGTTAAGGTCAGGAGAGTTTGCTGGCCAATTAAGAACAGGGATACCATGGTCCTTCAACCAGGTACTGGTAGCTTTGGCACTGTGTGCAGGTGCCAAGTCCTGTTGGAAAATGAAATCTGCATCTCCAAAAAGTTGGTCAGCTGCAGGAAGCAAGTGCAAGTGCTCTAAAACTTCCTGGTATGTGGCTGCGTTGACCCTGGACCTCAGAAAACACAATGGACCAACACCAGCAGATGACATGGCACCCCAAACCATCACTGACTGTGGAAACTTTACACTGGACTTCAAGCAACGTGGATGAAGTGCCTCTCTTCTTTTCCTCCAGACTCTGGGACCTTGATTTCCAAAGGAAATGCAAAATTTACTTTCATCAGAGAACATGACTTTGGACCACTCACCAGCAGTCCAGTCCTGTTTCTCTTTAGCCCAGGCAAGACGCTTCTGACGCTGTCTGTGGTTCAAGAGTGGCTTGACACAAGGAATGCGACAGCAGAAACCCATGTCTTTCATACGTCTGTGTGTGCCGGTTCTTGAAGCACTCACTCCAGCTGCAGTCCACTCTTTGTGAATCTCCCCCACATTTTTGAATGGGTTTTGTTTCACAATCCTCTCCAGGGTGCGGTTATCTCTCTTGCTTGTACACTTTTTTCGACCACATCTTTTCCTTCCCTTCGCCTCTCTATTAATGTGCTTGGACACTGAGCTCTGTGAACAGCCAGCCTCTTTAGCGATGACCTTTTGTGTCTTGCCCTCCTTGTGCAAGGTGTCGATGGTCGTCTTTTGGACAACTGTCAAGTCAGCAGTCTTCCCCATGATTGTGTAGCCTATAGAACTAGACTGAAAGACCATTTAAAGGCTTTTGCAGGTGGTTTGAGTTAATTAGCTGATTAGAGTGTGGCACCAGGGGCCATTAATTTTGAACCTTTTCACAATATTCTAATTTTCTGATATGATGAATTTGAGATTTTCATTTGTTGTCATTTGTAATCATCAAAATTAAACAAAATAAACATCTGAAATATATGAGTTTGTATGTAATGTATGAATATAATATACAAGTTTCACTTTTTAAATGGAATTACTGAAATCAATCTACTTTTTCATGATATTCTAATTTTATGACCAGCACCTGTATAGTTAACTGTTTATATCTCAAGTGAATCCAAACTTACAAATCTGACTTGCAAGCTTTTTAATTGAACTTTTGTTTTATTGTGCATCTAAATATTTCATTGCAAATTACTGTATTGCGTATGACAGAAATGAGTCATTAGCCATTATGAAAAGGTTGTGTTGAGGAAAGCTTTGTAGGGTCTCTTTCTTCTCTTTATCAATATTTAGACCAGGATGGAATTGACTGAAACACATTTTGCAATATGCAGAGGCATACAATTACGTTAGCTAGTATATCTTGGTTTCCCTTTTCAACTTTCAAAAACAAAAAGGAGGTGTATTTTATACAACATATGTATAAAGCATTTTTTTAAACCATAACAAACTTAAATTCAGTTCAACTCATTTTATTTATATAGTGCCAATTCATAACACATTTAATCTCAAGCTACTTTACAGAGATAATTCAACCAGGTCATGCTGTCAGATTTGTTCAAAGTTTTCTATCAAAGAAAAACCAGTTGATTACATTCATTGGACGGTCATCTGCCGACGCCGACTGGGGTTCAAGGAAACGGAAGCAGACATACAGAAAGAAGCATAGATGCAAAAGGCTACGGTCAACCAGCTCCACAGGTGGCCCTGT